CGGGTTATAAATAAAATTTATTATTATTATTATTATTATTATTAGGTGAAGCTTTTCCTAGCACAGTGAAGGGTGATGGCAACGGCTTTCCCTTGTTGCGTTTCTTGTGGCCAGCTGCTTCGATACTCAAAGTGGCAGTTTCAGAAAGGGTGACAAACCTAAGGGGGGTTCCTGTGAGAAGAGGTTTAGTTCAATGGAGATGAAACACACACCTGTGTGCCAAACCAGATAACTTGAATGATTTCTCTTCTCTCGGGGCTTCTTATTCTATGAAAGCGGTAGCTCTAGATTTTTATCAGCCCGTATCGCCTTGAACAAGGTAGCTGGAATGCTTTCCAGGAGCGCGTTGATTGATTGATTTCCAGAGTGTGATTTTTATGAGCCATTTTGAAACTATTACTCTGGCTTGTAACTTCAACTGGCAGTGCTGAAGTGAGGTCACTCTTCTTCATAGAATCAATTGCCTTTTTGGTAATTGATTTTTTTATTATTTTTTTTTGGTGGGGAGCAGTTGTCTTAGTTTCAGATGGAATATAAATTGGGCAATAAGATGTCTGTGAAATGATTGCGCTGTGCTCTGTAAAAGTGTCTGGACTCTACTTCATAAACTGATCCCCAAACAAGGCAGCTGTGTTAGCTTGTTGCAGAAAAACCAACCAAGTCTAGAGCTATCTTTAAAGACTGGGAATTTTTTATTTTGCACAGGCTCTTGTGAATTGCAGTCCATGGAACGGATGTAACAAATGGAAGTGCAGTCCCCAATAATGTTCAATAAAATTTGTTAGCCTTTGAAGAGCCCCAGGACTTAAAAATAAATAAACCTAACTACCTTATTTTCCTGCGTATAAGACTACTTTTTAACCTGCAAAATCTGTGGTTAAAGTGGGGGGGGGTCGTCTTATACGCCGGGTATAAGGATAAGGAGGGTAGAGGTGCTAAAACTCTACATTTTGACTGGAAAAATGGGGTGTCGTCTTATATGCCGGGTCGTCTTATACGCCGGAAAATACGGTACTTTCCACAGTGGCTCCACTTCTGGCTTTACTGCCATTCTTTTTCCTTTTTCAGACGTAAATATATTGGGAAGCATTTCAGACTTTCAGCTATCTGGATCTCAACCCAGAGACTTGGGATGCTTCCAAACAAAGGGTTCCAGATGTGGTGCCCTGGTGCTGGGTTGTTCTGAAGTTGTGGGGTAGGAGAGAGTAAATATGTTCTGTGTTTTAGTCCAAACTTTAAAGGACATTCCTTTTCTGGGGACCTTTAGATAACTTCTTTAACGTTTGGACTAAAACCCAGGGTGGCTTTACCACTCCACTGCATGGAAGCTAACACAACTAATCAAAATATTTGGCAGCTATTTTGTATTGTCTTCCTTAATAGATTTTTATGAAAAGTTGGAAGAGGTAATAGGAAAACAAGGAAGGGGTACAGGAAGGGGTTCAAGTATAGACTTCATTCACTGGGCAAGCCTAAAAATCTTATGGAAGTAAAATTTGCTCTGTACTATTCTTTAGGAGCCAGCATGGTCTAGTGGTTTGAGCATTGGACTATAACTCTGGAGACCAGGGTTCAAATCCCCGCTCAGCCATGGAAGCCCACTGGGTGACCTTGGGCAAGTCACATACTCTCAGCTTCAGGAAATCCCATGATAGATTCACCTTAAGGTTGCCATAAGTTGGAAATGACTTGAAGGCACACAACAACAACCATCCTTTTTAGGTTTGCAGTTAATTCTTACCACAATTACCTACATCAACCTTTCTGAGCCTGGCATCTTCCAAATGCATTGAGCTATACTTCCCCTTGTTCCCTGTCAGCAAAGCCCTTGGTTATGCTGGCTGGGAGCAATGGGAATTGTAGTCCAATAGTTGCAAGTGATTACTCTGGCTTATAATTTCAGGCTGACAGGTGTTGAGCAGAGGTCACTGTTCTTCACTTACCGTTTTAGAAGATGGTATGTCAAGGAAAGCTGAACATTTAAAGTTTAAGCCAGACAGATCTCCAGTTCAGAGCGGATACTGTGCGAGATGGAAGAGAGTTCTACTAAATTTTCCTCAAAATATTTTTTAAAAAAATTCGCTTAGGTCTACCACCATACCAGAAGAATAATGTTTTTAAGACAAATTAACTTGGAATTCTGAATTTTGAATCATAGAATCATAGAGTTGGAAGAGACCACAAGGGCCAT